TTTGGGAAGGTGAGCGCTCAACCCCATCATAATTTTCTGGGGAAGGGTGGGTGGGGGCTCAAGAGGCTAGCCCTGATTTAAGTGCACAATAAAAAAACTTAATCAATATAATGTCAAAACAGTAATAAATATAATAGAACATGTGAAATAGTACGAAATTTATAGACATTAAAAAAAATAGAACGCCTAAATGTTGCTGGGGGTCGGGGGAGGGAGGGGGGGGGGGGAGGTGGTGTCAGAGCTAAGCACTCTTGCAAAGTTTCTGAGGGTTGAGAGGGTACCTTAGCCACCCCGCCCCCTTTTTTAATAAATATTTGTTGGGGAGTTGGGGTGGGAGGGAGGGGGCGGCTCAGCATGGAGAGTCTCCATGTTCCAGCGACCTTGGCTTGTGTGTTAGTTTAAAGTTAAACTAGCGTGTTGACAATGGTACAACTTAACGGGTATGCCAGAGAACTTCTGCAGACATTAAAGTTGCAAGTAAATAATTTAATTGTTATTGATTCGTGACTGGGACAAATACATTTAGAATTGAAATAGGCAGTCTTTGTAACTTCTTAGTGCTGTGTGCACTCATACATCCATGTTGATATCTCTAATACAATTTTAGTATTTCGTGGCATTTTCCGTGAAGCTTTTTCTTTCTTTCTTAAAGCCATCTTTGTTTAGGGCAGACGTCAGTCAGTGGCACATGTGCCAAGCATTGTCCATGGAACAATTTTAAGTGGCACACTGAGTTTATGGAAGTGTAATATATGATTTAATTATATATATATATATATATATATATATATATATATATATATATATATATATATATATATATATCATCAGGTGCCTTGTCGACTAGCGTGAGCGATCATGCCTCTCCATAATCCACGATCTCCTGCAGCGTGTAAGTGTATTAGTTCATGTGCCGACACACCTCCATGCCATGCAACAAGACTGTCAAGCATCTTCTCTCGTTGTCTTCCTCTATCTCTCCTTCCACAGATCTTTCCAGTGGTCACAACGTGTTCTATTTTCCCTCTTCTCATATATGGCCAAAAAGTAATGACTCTCCTTCTGATGTCTGTGATAAGTTGTCTTCGGACTCCCGCCTCTTTCAGAACCTCTTTGTTGCTCTTTTTGGCTGTCCAAGGTATATTCTAAGCATTCTTCTGTAAAACCACATCTCTGAGGCCTCAAGAAATTGTTTGGCTTGCCTACCGATTGTCCAGGATTCACAGCCATATGTTAAAACTTGATGTATTTAGCAAGCAAGAATTCTTTTTCTAACTCTCAATGACAAGGATATATTGCACAAAATATTCTTCATTTTATAAAATGCAGTTTTTGCCTGTCCTATTCTGTTTCTTACCTTAGTTTTTATATATATATATATATATATATATATATATATATATATATAATATATATATATATGTGTGTGTGTGTGTGTGTGTGGTGTGTGTGTGTACGTATATCATCGACGCAGAACCTGGGACCTCAGATCCTTGAGAATCAACCCCCTGTATCCTATCCCCTACAGACACACAAAAACTGAGTGTCCCTGCCCAATAATTTTGTAAGGGGACCAAGAGGGCGCCCACGCCCTGCGCCTAAAAAATTGTAAAGAACTTCGCTTTGAAAGTATTTCCATTGCATATGAATTCAATTATACTATTGTGTTTATTTGCTGGTCAGCATAATAGTAATAATAATAATAATGTGTTGAATGACACACAAATATAATGCGATACTTAAAAATGAGGTTCAGTTCCCACCCCTTTATCAACCCCACCCGCCATATATATATATTATTATTGGCCAGTTAGACCAAGCTTGAGTCTCACTCCCGACCCGTAGAAGATTGTTGATTTTATTGATTGATTCATTCATTGATTCATTCACTCATTCAAGTTGTCTTTTGGTGATAAGTACCCCCCCCCCCCCCATCCCCCTTTCTGTCTTTCAAGACAAAAATTTTAAGGACAAAAAAAAAAAAAAAAGAGTTGAATGGGTTATAAACTGACTGCTGAAAATTCCGCCTGTGCCACTACTATCAAAACATTCCTACAAATTCAGCTCGATATACCAGATAGTACAATGCTCTTCCATGCTGTCTGCAAACCGGCAATAAAATCCACATTGGTTGGGTCCAGTGCCCAAGATGTGTTGATCCTCCCACGGTGGACCGGGAGGAGGGGTGCAAACCAGGGGTTGTAACCTCACATCTCACAGAAAACTACTCTGCTCTGCCATATATATTTTGTAGCGGGATTATTGATCGGCTGGTCTTCCACGGCCATGTTTTTCTCCTCTTTCCATTTTTTTCTTCTTTTTGCCAGCTTTTTCTATTTTTGTAACGAACGGCTTGTTCGCTTCCAGAGAAAAAGAGGAAGGGACGGCGCCGACCAGTTCAGGTTCTTTCAACTGTTGCTGCCATGTTGAACGGTAGAGCCGCAAATAACAGCTGCTGTTGCGTCGCAATTAAACATTGATTCGCTTCTCTGGTTTCATTCCAGTCAGTGATTCGAAAAACTATTCTTTGCCTCCTTTATTTGATACTATTTATTCTGTTGTAAGCCTAGTGTTCCATCGTGGCTAAAAGATATGTTGTTGCCGTAAAACCCACTGTGCTTATATTATGATAAACGTTCTAGCAAAATATTCAAGGTGAAATATGCAGCATACTCGGCAACTCTGAATCCCACAAATACGCCAGGTACGTATTAAGTTGTGATGTTAAACATTTAAAATAATTCGTGATCAAAGAATGCTATGCTATCTAGTAGCCACGGTGGTAGAATGGTGACAGTGTTTTAGGTTTGTTCCATATAAGTGACTGTATGGTGTTTTTTTTGTTTTGTCTAAACGCATCTTTTTGGTCGACCAATCCTGTGTATCAGATATGTTCTGGACATATCAGATATGTTCTGGACATTTCCGGAAAATGTCTGATAAGGAAGGACAGCGAGGAAGAGAACAAGTAGACTCAGATGAAAAATCGTAGTATAGAACCTGTGCTGGCTCAACGCGTCACACTCCAAAGGCTGTGTCTGTTATATGACTAATTTTATCTGTTTGAGCTATCTAGTAACTTTATCAGCTCGTCTTGTTTTGATTATCATTTCTAATGCGTGTCAAGGGATCTGGAACCTGCAGACGGGCGCACTGTGCCCCCCCCCCCGACTTTTCCAATTGTGAGTTAGCTGTGCTCCCCCCCCCCTTTTTTACAACAAACGCCATGTATATATGTATATATATATATATATATATATATATATATATATATATATATATATATATATATATATATATATATATATATATATATATAAACTTTTTTTTACGATTTTGCTGGTAAATTCCTGCTTTGTTTTAAAAGATAAAACAAATCTGGCATAAGCGTAAGTAATGTCAGTGAAAACGGCATTTATTGTATACAAAATTGATATGAAATGTAAAGAAGTGGAAAAACACATTGAAATGAACGAGACTGTGAAGTGTGCTACCCAACTTTTCAAAATGCGCACAATTAACACTGAACTACTTACTAGGCATGTTAAAATCGGATATTACACCGTTTGCAGCAGGCCATTCAATACAGCGTAGACAAATGTAGTCCTCAAAGTTCCGAACAATATTATGAGAAACAGCTCGCCATTCCTGAAGCAGAAATCCCCCATGTGGGTTCCGGGGCCCCATTGTGGGGAAAACAAGAATAGACCCACTGCCTCCCCAAAAGCATTTCGTAAGAGTCGACTAATTGGGGAGCTTCCTTTGAAGTCGGAGTGTATCTGCCGGAGAGGCAAGGAACCAACAGTCTGTATTCAGGAGAATGAGATCTGTAAAACTGATGCACACGCAACACTCAGGTTCTGGAGCAGGACTGCAGTTCAGTAGTGGACAAGCAACCATAACCTTACGCCAGAGTTTACAGCTGGTGATCGCTAAGAAGAAGAAGAAGAAGCAGAAATAGTCAGCTGGGCAACATCAATATGCGGGGATTGATTTGTTGACAGTCTTCGACGAAGAACATCCAAGAGGTGGTCAGTCGGAGAACTGTCAGGTGAATGAGCTGGCCACATCATTCTGATGAGTCCATGTTGCTGAATAAAGCCATTCACCACACGGCTCGATGGGGTCAATCGTTTTTATCATTTTGGAGGATGGCGTTACTACCTATGGCCTTCAGAGCGGGATGAAAAATTGCTCTCTAGATGTCGTTCTGGTATCTTGGGCCGGTCAAGGTGCCTTGGATGATGTAGAATGTGGTCCTGTCGTGTCTGTAGAAACCTCCCCAGACCGCGACAGAACCCTTACCAAAACGATCCACCTCTAGGATTGTGTCATCAGTAAATCGCTTTCTTGGTCGTCTCCAAACTCTAATCCTGCCACAAATAAATGACACAGTGAGTGAGATTCTTCCGCAAAGAGGACTTGGCTCCATGGTTGCCTTATCCTTCGGATGTCATCGCGACACCAGGCAAGAGTAAAATTGATTCTGACTGCAGGAGGTACATCAGCCCTGTCAGACGCATGTAAATGTATGCGAATGGTGCTTTGCCTGACCTTAACGTTTACAGCTGGACTCAGCTGATATCTTAGTATGGAACATGTCACTTCGAAGTTCGATGGCGCAGGGCTGACAATAAGAGGTACCGGTCATCATGTCTATTAGTGCATCTGGACGTTGGCGATCTTCCACACTTCCTGTGACCTGAAATGTCTCTAAAATCTTTGGATAGTAGAGTATGACACTGCAAGCTGCCTAGAAACTTCAAGGACAGATAAACCACTGTCAGCCCATGCCATACCACTGTCTGCCCATGGCATACCTCTGTCTGCCCATGTCATACCACTGTCAGCCCATGCCATACTACTGTCTGCCCATGCCATACCATTGTCGGCCCATGCCATACCTCTGTCTGCCCATGCCATACTACTGTCGGCACATGCCATACCATTGTCGGCCCATGCCATACTACTGTCTGCCCATGCCATACCATTGTCGGCCCATGCCATACCTCTGTCTGCCCATGCCATACCACTGTCAGCCCATGCCATACCACTGTCTGCACATGCCATACTACTGTCTGCACATGCCATACCTCTGTCTGCCCATGCCATACCACTGTCTGCCCATGCCATACTACTGTCGGCACATGCCATACCATTGTCGGCCCATGCCATTCCACTGTCTGCCCATGCCATACCTCTGTCTGTCCATGCCATACTACTGTCTGCCCATGCCATACTACTGTCTGTCCATGCCATACCTCTGTCTGCCCATGCCATACCACTGTCAGCCCATGCCATACCACTGTCTGCACATGCCATACTACTGTCTGCACATGCCATACCTCTGTCTGCCCATGCCATACCACTGTCTGCCCATGCCATACTACTGTCTGCCCATGCCATACCTCTGTCTGTCCATGCCATACCACTGTCAACCCATGCCATACCACTGTCAGCCTATGCCATACCACTGTCTGTACATGCCATACTACTGTCTGCACATGCCATACCTCTGTTTGCCCATGCCATACCACTGTCTGCCCATGCCATACTACTGTCAGCCCATGCCATACCACTGTCTGCACATGCCATACTACTGTCTGCACATGCCATACCTCTGTCTGCCCATGCCATACCACTGTCTGCCCATGCCATACTACTGTCTGCCCATGCCATACCTCTGTCTGTCCATGCCATACCACTGTCAACCCATGCCATAACACTGTCAGCCTATGCCATACCACTGTCTGCACATGCCATACTACTGTCTGCACATGCCATACCTCTGTCTGCCCATGCCATACCACTGTCTGCCCATGCCATACTACTGTCGGCACATGCCATACCATTGTCGGCCCATGCCATTCCACTGTCTGCCCATGCCATACCTCTGTCTGTCCATGCCATACTACTGTCTGCCCATGCCATACCTCTGTCTGTCCATGCCATTCCACTGTCTGCCCATGCCATACCACTGTCTGCCCATGCCATACTACTGTCTGCCCATGCCATACTACTGTCTGCCCATGCCATACCTCTGTCTGTCCATGCCATACCACTGTCAACCCATGCCATACCACTGTCAGCCTATGCCATACTACTGTCTGCACATGCCATACCACTGTCGGCACATGCCATACCACTGTCTGCACATGCCATACCACTGTCAATCCATGCCATACCACTGTCAAACCATGCCATACCACTGTCAACCCATGCCATACTACTGTCAACCCATGCCATACTACTGTCAGCCCATGCCATTCCACTGTCTGCCCATGCCATACCACTGTCAGCCCATGCCATTCTTTGTAAGGTGTCAAGACTTCTACTCAGTGCCATGCTTTTTGCATAAACAACCCTGAGTCTGCTGATTGTTAAACAAATTAAGAGCAAACTCTGTTCACCAACAACCGCCATTGCATGTGGAGGAATGTCAGTCAGCACGATGACTTTGAGTTGTGAGTTAGATTATCTTCACAGCACTCCGGACATATCGATAGGCGCTAAGATTTCCCCTCTCAACATATTCATCAGCGTCGTGCGGTTGATAGAACCAGTCCTATGCTGGTTAACAAGACTGTCTGCGTCCGGTGTGCTTCTCATGCTTTGCTGTGCCGAACTTTACTACCAGTTCACGTATTCTTAGAAGTGATGTGGACACCTTGCTTCCAAAATCCTCAGATCGTCCTATGGTCAGCAAACCTAATTTGCACGTGTTCACATTAGTAGCCTATGAGTTACTTTCTTCTTTCATGTGCATTTAATATGTTACACTGAAGCATATCTATTTATAATGTATAAATATTGCTCACATGCGTTCGTGCATTGCTTGACTGTTGGTCGCTCATTCGTTACCTTTTAGATCGTCATGGCCAGGTGTACAGATCCATGTGAGGGAGGTTAAGTTCGATGTTTGAGTGTTTTCTACCCTTTCAAAGCGTTTACTACCTATTGCAATGTTCTTACCCTCTTATGGAAGCGACAGAATATGGGGGTAGACACGATATCTATTCGTCACACATCATGGGCTTTAAAAAAGAAAAAAACTAATGCACAAACGCTAAGTAATAAATGTTTAATTTGTATTTCACAACAGCGTAGTCACCAGATACAGTTTAAGTTGCAATAAAACTTCGTTAGTACAAACTCGTTTAAGGAGAACTTTGGTTAGCATGAAAAAATTTTGGTCTCAGAAAAGCTGTTTTTTTTTTAAATTAGTTCCATGAGAGAACGAAAACTTTCAACACCAACACTTGATATTTCGATCCCTTGAAATTCCTATTAACGAGTTAAAAGGTAAAAGGTAAAGTCAGGAGATGTGAACCAGTGTCATTTGCACAAGGTTATAAACCATAAGTGCTCTGCCACCAGTATGGACAGCTGATAAGAAACTGTCCGCCTGTGTCGCCGTCTGCACGAAACTCCGTAATTAACGAGATTCTACTGTAAATATGTAAATGCAAAAAAAAAAAAAAAAACGATGAAAGCTGAAGAAACAAAGTGAACACAAATGTTGACAGCAATGATCCTGAAATCCCATGCTATAATTGTGGGACTTTTCTTTCTGTAAGTCCCATGCTAGTGCCTCCTCCGGAAAGTGTGCCAGCCACTGTACATTTTTGGCTTGAAGTGTTAAATGTTTTAGTCGATTCTTCACTGTTAGGTGTAACTGACCTTCGTTTAGACAGCCCTGGAAGGGGGGTTTTCGTGAGTCATGACGACACGTAAGACAGAACATTGTGACTCATTTACTATTGTCATTGTAACTAAATAAACAAAGCACCCTTTCTTTGTCACTGGCTCATGGCTCATTGTATTTGACTCAGTTTTATAGACCAGTCGCATTCAGTGGATGATTTAGTCAGTTTCAAACTGGGCGCCTTTACTTCCCAAGAGATTACCAATTTTAGGCTGGATCGACCTGAGAGCCGATGTAATTTTAAAAATAATCGGCTCCGCTGCGGATTCGAAACAGTGCGTTACAGCGGCTTCTGAGACTGTTAAACTAAAGTCATATTCGGGAATATTGTAATATCCATTTTACTTCTTGTAAGTACAGCACCTGTTGAGAGAATGTTTTCTGTCAAGAGTAGTGTAAGGTTGAAGGAAATGCAAGCTTGTGTGTTGAGATAAATCTAGATTGAGTTTTGAGATAATTCTAGATTAAGTGTTGAAATAGTGATGTGTTTGTTAGTTACAAGAAACAACTGTGTCATCTGATTGGAAAAGTTTATATATATATAAATAAATATATATATATATATATATATATATATATATATATATATATATATATATATATATACACACATACATCACTCCCCTGAGTGCCAGCTATGTAACTACCCCTACGAAACTGTTGAACACCATCTCTTTGAGTGCCCAAAACTCAGTGAGACAAGAAGAACGCTACTCCCTATGAGACCAGACAAGTGGAACACCTTGTACGGAGGAAAAGGACAGCTTGTGAAAACATGCAAATTCCACTACATAGCATTGGGCCAAAGGGCGAAAGCTCATGCGCCGCTGGATCTATAACAACAACAACAACACACATACATATATATTTATATATACACACACACACACACACATATATATATAGTACAAGTCGTGAGGCGGTGGTCATGTCTGTCCACAGCGTCTGTCTCGTTTCCTTTTAGTCCCTGCTGACGCAAAGGATTTTCCATGCAACGATGTCAAACTGTACAGCAACGTCTCTCTCTGTCATTCGCTCTCTCCTAATATGTGTCTCTCTCGTCCTCTTCTCCCCCTCCTATCGTCACACAGTTCTCTCTACCCCCTCCCCCCCCCCCCCCCCCCCCCATCAAACACCCCACCCGCCCACTGAATAGACTGCATACACGCGGTTTACCAATTGGAGCTGTGAGATAGGAAAACCATGCGGCAGTCACTGTCGTTACATCAGCCAGAACAGAATGGCAGTTCTTAGCCTAAAAATACTCAGAGACGCACTCAAGAGAAAATCGTAGCACCTATATTTAAAATGATAAGTGAACAATGTACTGTGGTTTTTTCCTTCTCTTGCTGTGACTCAAGAATATAGACTGTCTCCTTCTCCTGCTGCGACTGAAGAATATAGACTGTCAGCTTCTCTTGGTGTGATAATATAGACTGTCTCCTTCTCTTGACGTGACTCAAGAATATAGACTGCCTCCTTCTCTTGACGTGACTTAAGAATATAGACTGTCTCCCTTTCCTGACGTGACTTAAGAATATAGACTGTCTCCCTTTCCTGACGTGACTTAAGAATATAGACTGTCTCCCTTTCCTGACGTGACTTAAGAATATAGACTGTCTCCCTTTCCTGACGTGACTTAAGAATATAGACTGTCTCCCTTTCCTGACGTGACTTAAGAATATAGACTGTCTCCCTTTCCTGACGTGACGTAAGAATATAGACTGTCTCCCTTTCCTGACGTGACTTAAGAATATAGACTGTCTCCCTTTCCTGACGTGACTTAAGAATATAGACTGTCTCCCTTTCCTGACGTGACTTAAGAATATAGACTGTCTCCCTTTCCTGACATGACTTAAGAATATAGACTGTCTCCTTCTGGTGTGGGCAGTGAGCTGTCTTCGTGTGTCAGTTTCTTTAAAGAAATTTTCGTTATGTGCCGGAAGCTATGAAGGCAGGTATCAGTGCCTTTACATACGTCTGTGAAACACACATCTCAGCATCCAAACTTGAAAAGGGGGGGGAAGAGAAATCAGTTTTGAAAAAAAGATCGTATCGAAAGTTTATATTAAATTATACATAGACCGAATCAGAAGTGACGAAATTCGCAGTATCCATCCCTCAACACATTGGAAACTGTGAGCCTCTTTTAAAAACCGGCCTCTTCATAACGTCACTACAGGGCTGTGTAGAGGAGAAGATGTATGACAAGAAAGGTCTGGATGCATAATTTGGCTGAATTGGCAGACCTAAAACATGTAAACATTAAGTTCATTACATCTAACCGACAGAGGTAGCTGATCAAACATTCATCGGCAATTGGTGGCCAAACGAAATGCGGTGTTGTATTGTGTGATGATATACTTGTTTTTCTTTTGGTATCCTACTGCTTAGTCGGCTCTGTGGCTAAGTCGATGCGAACACTTCGCTTCGTAATGCCGGGATGCCGGGTTCGATCCCAGCTGCGGGCAATGCGCCTTGCGTTGGTTTCGACAGTGGTATCAAGAAAGCCGACCGTCCAGAAAGCAATGGCAAACTACTGGACGTAAATTTGCCTAGAGAAACCACACAACAGCCAGGGGCTGTTATGGTTGGTTCTGCAACGTCCTGTACAGGTTCAATTCCCGGCACGGTAACTATAGTTTTCGATTTTTATGTTGTCTAGTGTGTTCTTCTATCTTTCTACTTTTTTCTATGAGTGCCGTTCACAATACTTTCTGTTACTTGATTAATTCATATTTAACGTCCTCAAATGGTTCCCCCCTCTGTTTATTTATGTAAAGGATACGCAACAACCTTTTCTATCCTACTGCTTAGGCTTGAAAGCGCCGTAGAGAGGAGTTAGATGAAGCTTTCTGTCGTTTGCTAGCTGCGTAGCTTATGTTAATGCCAGTGTTGCCACTTTTCTTTGACAAAAAATATCCGAAACGGTGTCAAAAAATATCTAAAAAGATGTAAATCTGCGTGGAAAAGATCTAAAAAAAAAACATCCAAATTGAAAAAGTCAAAAATTACATA